GCTGCAACAGAATTGAGATACAAAGTACTGTCACTCCTCTAATAATCAACCCAAGGCTCTTGTCAAGCTAAATGGACTCCTAGCAAGAGAGACTAATCCATCTGACACAGTCCATCTCACCCATGGGTCCAGAGATATCTGCTCTCTCCCTTCATCACCAGGAGGCTCCGTCCTGGCAGTATCACGGGAACAAGACGACCATCAGGATGACGGAACTCCATCACCGTCTATAACAACGCATATATACGCACATGAATTAAAAGCAAGGAAATTTAGACCACAAACAAATTTGACTTCTCTCTCCCAACAGATTCTAACTCAACTCAGGATGTCTGCTACACTGCAGAAATCTGATATCAGGGCCATCTTTTCCCATTCATTCTAATCAATGTTAGGTAAGATAACATGAGGACAGGGGCTGTGCACAGTCTGCTGTGACTAAATGAATGGGATGGAAAGAGAAAACACTCCGTTTTATAATGACATCTACAAAGAAACTGAAGACACCACTGGCAATAAATCCTGCTTAATAAGGCCAGTAGTGGCAATGATATTGATGTGGGTTATTGGATTAGGGCATCAATTCTGCTACAGCCATTTAACCGCTGATAATGAGCACAAAACCATAATACTTTGAGTAATGATTCTCAAACTGGATATTGTCTGATTTAATTTAGCTTTGACATCTTCAGTGTTTCATTTAAGCCACGGTTATGGTCAATACACTGCAACTTGAGAACACACGTAGTTTCACCAATTTGATAACAGGTGCAGCATTTAGAAAACAGGCTGCAAATACAGAAAACATTAGCAAACAGCACAGACTACAACAGAAATGTTTTCAGGGGACACTAAAAAGTGATGGACATGACAGGAACATTGTTTGATGTTAACGTTCTTATAATACAATTCAGATAAGCGTAGATATGTTCGCTTAGTGTTAGCATTTTGCTTATTAGCCAGCAAGCGAGTAGCTTGACGAGTCACAAATTATGACATCAACAAATGTGTCCCATCTTTATAGACAAAACACAAGCGAATAAAGAATGTGAAGGTACATCACACTATATTGAATGTTGGGACGGGGGAACTGTTTTGGGACATAAGCGCTGTAGTCACCTGCATACATTATTGTTTTTTTTTTGACTAAAATTGCTTAAATCATTGGATCTCGCTTTACTGACTGTGGTAATTCAACTTGTAGCAGACATAGAGATTCCACCTACGAAATCACCAGACTGAAAAATGACTCTGAACCCTGAGCTCAGCTCTTGGTTCGGGAACTAACACTAGCTAGCAGCTGTTGGCAGATGACACAAACACCGCAGATGAATACATTTCTGCCCTGTTTGTGCTCAAACTGAACAATAAAGTGTACGTTTGCATGTAGTTGAAGCATCCGCTACTGTATGATGCTGTATGGGATTGTTTTCTTTAACTTATAAAGGTTTGTAATGTGTGTGATCTTCCAAAATGGCGCAGTTACCCAAAATTCAACACTTCACATTCTCTATTTGCATGTATTTTCTCAAGCTACAGTGGGCTGACCTCTCAGGGCCACTTAAACTATCTACAAAACTTTAAAACAATCTCCAATTAAACCTAAAAATTAAAAACATTATTATTATTAATAAAAAATATTATAAGATCATTAAATCCATATTTATCATTAAAACTTGCATTATTACAACTATCTACAGCCTAAACCGTCTACAACTAAACAAAAACAAATTCTGAGAAATATCTTCATTTAGCAAAATAATGAATAAACTATCTTGGCTGAATTAGTGACTACTAATAAGACAAGAGTCACCTGTGCAAACAGCAGCAAATGTCAAAGTATTATTTTTTATATTATTAGATTAATAGAATATTAATATTAAACAACCACCTTCGAAATGTGAATTATTCTTTCCTTTTACTCAACAGTTTTGAGTTCTGCCTGACTCCACTCCAGCTTTGGTGACTGATCCTAATGTTTCCTTAGAGTGCATAACAGTATGAGCTCTGCAGGGAAATTACATCTATGCAGCTTCAAACTGCAACTCTCCGACTTCTGACAGCAGGAAGATTGGATTTTGTGAAGTAAAGGTGTGTGTGTGCACAGAGAGAGATGTCTGTGTACGCTTGTGTGTTCAACACCAGCAAATGATTAGATCTCACAACTGAATTCTATCTCACATGCAGACACGGACACACACACCGTTGACAAGCAGGACTGTGCTGCTCCCATCTGAGGAGTATTAGTGAAACCAGTGGAATGTGACTAAACTGATGGTGATGTTAGCAGCTGTACTTTGCTACAGGATGATTCCTCAATAATCCACACACATACACACACACACACACACACACAGTGTACATCTTTCTTTGTGAAGACACTCATTGACATAATGTAATGCCCCTTACCATAAGCTTAACCCTCACAACTAAATGCATAAAACTAACCTAAAGCCAAGTCTTAACCCTCAAACAGCTTGTTGACCAGATGTCATAAAATGAGCTCTGGCCAAAATGTCCTCATTACCATGGTATGAAACAAACTGGTCCTCACAGTATATATATCAATACTAATGCAAATGAAAACACAGTCAGTTGTCTTTTCTCTCCAGGCTCAATAAGCCTCGAAAGTGCAGCTATTTCAAATATGAAGTTGAATATGAATATGAAATTATATGAAGTTTGCATTTCTTTAATGTGCAATGACTGAATCAGTTGTGTTAATATTAGTTTTGGAAGTACTGAAATCATGTCAAGTTATAAGTGAATTGTGTGGTAGGCAGAAAGATTTTATGATGCAACGAATGTTTTCTAGAAGGATCAAAACCAACTGTAATCACAGTTCGATTCACTTCTTGCACATGCAGCTAAAAAAAAACAACAAAAACAAACTAATATACACCAATCAGCCATAACATTATGACCACTGACAGGTGAGGTGAAAAAAATTCTCGTTACAGTATCACCTGTCAGTGTGTGGGGTATATTAGGCAGCAAGTGAACATTCAGTCCTCGAAGTTGATGTGTTGGAAGCAGGAAAAACAGGCCAAACTGTGATGTCTGACGACTGGGTCAGATCATCTCCCACACTGCAGGTGTTCCTGGTCTGCAGTGGTTAGTACCTACCTACAGTGTCTAAGGAAGGACAAACAGTGAACCAGCGACAGGGTCATGGATGCCCAAGGTTCACTGATGATGAGGTTGATCTACTGTAGATTAAACTTTTAAATGTCATTCATCCTTTTCAAAAGATTCCATTTTGTTTGAATCTTTGTTAAAATGGTTGAAATTGAGAAACACTGTACACTGGTCTCTATGAAGAGAAACATTCAGCAGCTATAGTGATGATATCACACCTAGAGTGGGGAGGCTGTTGAATTAGTCTAAACAATTCTCTCTAACTCGTCCTCACCACAACAGTTTTCACTCCTTTACATAAGTTTTTCACTGAATGGTCGACACATTTGTGCTCTTCCTGACAGTAGAACTGGAAGCAAACAGATTCACAGAAGATGCACAATGAGCTGCAGAGTGACACGGTGTTAGGCAGGTGGTCATAATGTTATGGTTGATTGGTGTAAAAGTCCTACTACACTACATTACTCGTGTATACCATTGGTTGTTTTTTGCATTTTATTGTTGTTCTTGTTATGGTGAGTTGATGCAGATGGAAAAGCCTGACTAGGGATTCACACCAGAGTTGAATGAAGTGAATCCTAGAAAGGGACCTTCTTGGTCACATGTTGAGTATTACCTGATGAAGACGAAATTTTACTTTACTTTTTTGGATGCGTCTACTCTGCATGCCTCTGCCTTTTTATCAGCATTGCTTTCACCTTATCTTACACCTTGGCACAAAATCTCCACTGAAGTTCTAGGACAAAGAATTCACTGTGCTCGCTCACTCTCGCTGTCTGTCGGTCTGTGTGTGCGACAGATGCCGTGACAGATGACAGATGATTGCTAATAGAGCCCCTGCGTTTCAGACAAGCACAGACAGATGGGCATTTATCTACAGCAGTCACCCTGTGGAAACTCAACCAGTGGCCCAGTGCCAGGTCACAGTATCTACTCACACCTGGAACAGTCAAGGAGACAGCAATACCTACCGTTTAAAGGAAAATCTGTAGCTCTTCTGTTCATTAACTGTTTACAAAAGCGTTACAAAGAAACTAGGATGCCTCTAAGAGTCTATATTAACAGAAGAACACAGTGAGCAATACACTATAAAAGTATTCAAGTGTGTCAGAGAGACAAAAGAATGAGACATAGCAAGCGAAGTGCCAAAATGTTCTCGGAGAAATCACAAGGCCACATGCGCACACACTCATTTCTGACAGTTGTGTACCCTTGAGACAGATGAATCACACTGATCAGTGCAGTGACACTAAATTTGACTGATCAAACAAGGACACAAAAGGCATATTCAAAAAAATACAAAACATACCATCAGCTTTTTACCTTGGCGGTGTTTGACCAGCACCTTTTTAACTTTAAATGTGTAACTTTCATCTGAATTATTGATGAATGCACCTCGAGTTATAACTGGTCGACATTGGCTATACAAGCTGATTGATGAATTATAAGCTTGGGTAAATTATGAAAAAACAGGCTTGTGGAAAGTATTTCTCTCTCGACAGAAAATCTAAAAAAAAAAAAAAAAAAAAAAAATCACATTTGAATTGTTTTCATATTATTGCACACAAAAGCAGTTCGAAGTGTTTTACATGCTCAAGAAATAATAAAACCAAGGAACAAATATTAGCATATACACACACACATCCAAACAAGCAAGAACATGAAATGTTTAAGTCACTAAATGATGGACAGACTCCTCACCTTTGACCCCAGGCTCAGTGACAGGATGGTGTCCTCAAAGGCAGAGTGAGTGTCCACATGAGGAGGAATACCTGAACATAAGCATACATGCAAAATGAAAATGATGAGATGAAGGTAGATCAAAAAGTGTTTAAACATTTGCGGGTTTCTGGTGGACATGGCTGAATCGTTGTGATGTGTGAAACACAAACCATTCATTTAATAATGTATTTGAGTTTATGCCCTTAAGCTAAACAAACATACAAACAATGTTTTTAAGCTTATTTCAGTTCTATTAACATACAACTAACAGGGAGAAAGTACTTTCAAATTCCACGTCAGAAAGGTTTCTGCTGCCCCCTTGTGGTACACATCAGTAATCTCAGTGTGTCCTCCTGAGTTCAGTTCTAAACAAATCACTGTTAACTAAACGTGGATTTTTTTCTAACCTCCAGCAGCTCCCACACCTCTCTACAAGGCTCACATACCTCTTATGTATGCTTGAAGTTCCTGCAGCATATTGTATTTGATTAAATGTAATATAGTACTGATTGTGCCCAGAATCAGTTCCTCCCCTCATGCATGCACATTGACATTTTTGTGAATCGTTGTAAACAATTTCATTTTTAACATCACAGTTTTCCTTTGACTACAGTAGCTGGCACTGCCTCCACATGTGCAGTGATTTTTACAGAGCCTTAATTATAATCTGTACAATTTATCTAAAATATTAAAGCTGTGACTAGAATAATTCACCTTGTCCAGACTCGTACTGGTTGACTGTCAGCTGGTCTGGCATAATGACGACATGTCCGTTCTTCACACACCTCTCCAGAACAGGTAAACACTCCTCAGGAATACCTGAATACACACAAACACACACTCATAAGCTTGCCCAGATCTCCATTTTTATTCCTTTTATTCCTACTTATCCCATTTCATAATGAACATTCCTTTGTCTGTCTGCATTGTTTACTGCCTGTTTATAATGCTTATTTTGCATTGTTTGCACTGTTTGTTGCTTGTTAATACTGCTTATTATTTTTGTTATATTACACAGCCTTATGCTGGTTTTCTGTTTACTTGCCCCTTGCATGGGGATATGTACATACACATTGAGAGCCGATGTACCAGAGTCAAATTCCTCGTGTGTCCGACACACCTGGCCAATAAAGCCGAGTCTGATTCCTCTCTTACTTCTTCCTAAATTTGTCCTCCTCATTTTCTACTGATGTAACATTTTCTCCATTAGTACAAAGATGAGGCAGAAATAAATCACTTTGTGGTTATTAGTTGCAGCTATTGGTTAACGCATCTTAGCAAGGAAAAGGGGGCGCTTAGTTGGATACAAGGGATCTGCATACTAATGCAAACACAGCAGAATCACTGTCATGCAAGACTCAAATCAGGGATCTAAATCACCCTCACAAAATGATTTTTTGTGCAGCTTTTCTGCATAACAATGATTGCAATGTCCCAAAATCTTAGCTCCCCATTTAGTGAGTAAAATGTTATCTTAAGTGAAGGGAATAATGGCCAAATCAATGAAAATAAGACCAATAAAAACCTAATTGTTAAAAAAAAAAAAAAGGATTTAAAAAAGTAAACTTACCTGCAGGTAGTGGCTTGTCTTTGTCCACGTTGTTGTTGTCGTAGCGAAATTCAAAGCCATAGTGTTTGACTTTTCTATGCTTTAGGGCTTTTTGGGCTAAAAGGCATTAGAATGACACTTTATATTTCTTGACTGAATTGTATAGAATAGTTTTACACAGGTTAAATTCAGCGTTAAAGATTTTTTTTTTTAAATCCGGTTTCTGGACGAACATTGTGAGATCTATAAAGGAACTTGAACTGAAAACTGAAAAACCAAACGGTGCAAGCACCTGTGATCTCATCATTAGCCGACGACCGGTCTATAGCAGCGAGCAACTGAGCCTCTTCCTCTGCTGACACAAAATCTTCCACCAATACTAAGCCCTCTGGCAAAGGAATGGACACCTCTTCCTCGCAGGTTACTGCGCGCGCACACACACACACACACACACACACACACACACAGAGAGAGAGAGAGAGAGAAAGAGGAGGATCAAACCTACAGGCTTCCAAAGTATGTCTATTCTAGGACAACATTTAAGGTAAGTACCTGAGTTGACATAACTGAGGTAGAGTGTTACACTGTTCTCTCCACACTGTAGCCTTTGTCCATTAAGGTATTTGTGTGCTTTCCAAGCACTCTCCTCTAATCTGAAAATAACAATAGTATGAGTTGTAAACAAAAGGTTTTCAGAGCAGATCAGCAAAAAATGTCCTAACTTCCTGCTGTGATAAAGTTCCCTCTATGCAGTTGTACCTGTATGTGGCAAACGCATAAGGCTTATATGGCGGCATGACCAGCATCTCCAGATCTCCCATCTCTTTCAGCATCGCAGAAAGCTCCTCTCGGCCAACGCCATTCCCCAGGCCACCGTTAACCACCACCAAACTCTGCAGAGGACTGGCTGGTTAATATAATATAGGCTTAACAACCAGTTTGGCAACAAAACCAAATGGAAAGATGGCATCAAACACAGTCTGAACCAGTCAGTGATAACAACACTCTTTGAAATATTGAATGAACAGCTTCTTCCCTGAGGCTGTCAAACTGAACACCTTAAAACTACACAACACTCAACACACCTTAGTCAACAAACATAATGTTTTAGGGTTGAAACCCTTGGTTGGTGTATTGATTAATCAAACTATCATATTTCAATACTGAATCATCTCTTTAAAGTAAAAATATAAAACATTAGCCAGGTGCAGCTTCTCAAACATAAACCTGAACTTTATTGTAACTTAATATTTACAAATAGTGAATCCCTACAATAAGCCTTTTTTCATTTACCACTTCTTCGTTTTTCTCTGATATTTCTTGTAATGCTATCTTCCATTTTTAACACCTATTTCATGATTTCACATTTCTAAATTTCTTGTTTAACTGAATTTTGGCGTTGTGTCTACAACACAGATATGTACATTCTTTGTGCACAAATACATTTGCAGTTTGGAAGAATAATCCCAATTGTAAAATATCAAATGACAAGTCCACTAATGTTACACACACATTCTAGAGTGTTTTTCTTTAGTATGAATGATAACTGTCAAAACAAGCTAATATTTAACCAGTGCCTGAAAATTAGCCAGCTAAGCTAGCGTACCTTCTTTATTAATCTTTTAAATTAGCTAAAAATCAACTCTGAACGGGAATTAACTGCGTGCAAAAAGTATAACAAGGTATATTCTTAGCTAGCTCTCTCTTCAGCCTATTGTCCAATAACAGATTTATTTCGGTTTTATAAACGCTTTCACCTTTTACCTTGGTAGGCTGAGACACCGTAACGATGCCTTCATGTTTCAACAAAGTGTGACTCGCTTTAACTTGTTTTCGAACAACTTTCTTCTCCTCTTTACTCCTTCTGCCTGTCCTCGCGTTGTTCTCCTTATGAAGATCCATGGTACATCACTTCACTTTATCCGGGTGCAACAAACATAAAAGACGGGTAGTTCCCGAAGGCGCCACATCAGCGCTCTTCCTCATTTAGGTTTAGTACACTGGTTAAAGTGTGTTTAAATCATGCTTTCAATTATTTTAATAATTTTTATATTGTGTAGAAAAATTACAGTATCTCAGTGAAAACCGTGTTTTGTTCTTTCTCAGTGTCCTAGTAAGATCTATGCGGATTGCAAGTCTGTACTTCACATTGGTTGATAATGCTGCTTTGAATCTGCTGGATGTGTTATTAGATTATGCCCAAGCCTTTCCTCCATCAAAAAATATCAATGCATCTGTAAGAGAATGAGAGCCAAAGAAACACTTTAAAACTTCACTTTACTTGTTATTGTTCTTGTCA